GACATTCCAGGGAAATATCATAAAAATATCACTGCAAGCAGAATGTTGAAACTGTAAAAGCTGTTGTATTTTCCATCAAATAAATGGTAAGCAAGGATATTTATTTAAAAAATAAAAAATATTACCATTGCAGGAGCATATTTTTATTTATTGCAGGCCATATCTTGAATTTATTTTGATTCATGCAGACTTGCATTTTAATGCAAATGGGCAGGAATTTTAAGTAATAAAGGATGTAAAACGGAGCGCAGTTCGTGCTTATTTAAGCACATAAATACTTCCATTTTCTGCCATATAATTTCAATTATATGGAGAATTTCTGCAATAATATTACTCTTATATTGTCGATTTATTTTTTTCATTATTTTATTTGTTTTCTTCACTTTCGAGAGCCTTTAATGAACTGCGAATGTATACATTTTGCACTCAGAATATATAATAAAATAATATTTAATAAATTTGAGGCTCTCCCTTAGCACACATGCAATCAGCTTACAGGCCGCCATAATAATTAAGTTGCCATTTGTCATTTCGGTGTGACATTTCATTTACATTTATGTCTCCGCACATATCTACCCGTACTTACTGTGCCCACTGTAATGAGTAATTTATGAGCTTATATAAAAGTAAAATAAACATTTTTTTATTGAATTTTTATTTATTACACAATTACACAATATGAGTCAACATAATTTGTGTTGTGGTTTGTTGCTTTCCAATGATAAAGCATATTTCAGAATTAATTAATTTATGCTTTATTCAAACATAGCTTAAATTCCTCTTACAACTTACAATTGAGTGAACTGAAAATGTTCGATTTAATTTAAGAATTTAACTAATTATGATATGTTGCATGACTGCCTTCAAAAGAATATCTAATTAATATAATTTCTCTTATTAATTTTTTTTTTGTTTTTGTCTTTGTTTTTGTTTTTGGTTTTGTTTTTGGTTTTGATTGAGGTTCAACTATGAATAACTTTATCTGAGATACATGACAATTGCATTTACTATGCACGCATGCACGTTTAACTAAATTTGTATCTTTCTATCTTTGTATCTTTGCCGGTTTGTGTTTGCTTTATAAATTTTAAATAAATTCTTCTGCATCTAAAACTACATTTATGTTCGCTCGTTAATTATTCATTGTATGCATTGTATTCATTTGTATGTGGTGTATCATGTATTCTTCAAATATATTCAATTGTAATTAGTAACTAGTGATTAGCAACTAGTAACTAGTTGTGTACCTACAATAGCAGCAAAGTGTTACTGTGATAACTGCGACTTGCTCTGCTCCTATAATATGTACTTTTAAATAAAGTGTGTGATATGTTTCAACGCAAACATTTATTATTTAAGTGATATATCACTCATTAAAGTATCTTTGTAGTTTAAAGCAGTGTATATACTATTTGCTTTATATATTTAATTTTATATTTTTAACTTATATTTTATTTGATACAGCTTATAAATATGTACATTTAAGTAGTCCTTTATTCACTTATACAATTTAATGATTTTCAACTGTTCTAATTTTTGAAACCCACTGCTTATATTATTACTATATATTAATAAAAACAATTTTGTTTTAAAGATTATCATTAAATTTAAAATATAATAAAAATAAAAAAAACAATAAAATTAATAAAAAAATAACTAAATATATAAATCGCACTGCTTATATTATTACTATATATTATAAAAAACAATTTTGTTTTAAAGATTAAGACAATATAAAATTTAAATTATAATAAAAATAAAAACAACAAAAAAGTTAATAAAAAAAATAACTAAATATATAAATCACATTACTTATATTATTACTTTATATTATAAAAAACAATTTTGTTTTATAGATTATAAAGAAATAAATTTGAAATTATAATAAAAATGTAATAAAAGAAAAAATATACATCTATATTATAATAAACACTTTTGTTTCATAGACTATAAAAAAAAATTTTAATTATAATAAAAACTTAATACAAAACAACTAAATACCACTGTTTATGTTATGTTTATATTATAATAATCAATTTGTTTAAGAGATTATAAAAAAATAAAATTTAGATTATAATAAGAATCTAATTAAAAGTAATTAAATATATGTGTAAGTCTCACTGCTAATATTATCTCTCTATTGTAATCAATTTTGTTTTATAGATTGTAAAAAAGTAAAATTGAAATTATAATAAAAATGTAATTAAAAATAATTAAATATATATATAAATCCCACTGCTTAAGTTATTTCTATTTTATAATAATCAATTTTGCTTTATAGATTATTAAAAAAAAATTGAAATTATAATAAAAATGTAATTAAATATATATATATATAAATCCCAATGTTATGTCTGTATTATACTAATCAATTTTTTTTAAATATTATCAAAAGATAAAATTTAAATTGTAATAAAAATGTGATAAAAAATGAATAATAACACAAAAGTCGTTTATTTTTTCTGAAAATTAGTAATAAAAAAAGTTATTAAAACTTTTTTCTGTTAATAATTTTTAATTTTTCATTTAAATAATAATAAATCAAAATTATGTGACATAAATTATAAAAAAATTAAGTAAATATTAATATACAATAACATGATAAAAATATTTTTTTTTAAAACTTGTTATAAAAAATTTAAATCAAATATTCATCATAAAAATATAAAAAATTTTTTTTCATCTTTTAACAATTTTATATTATTTATTTATAAAATAACTTATTCAATTTATGTAATATAAACTAAATAAAAATTTTATTGAATATTAATATATGAAAATTTGATAACAATATATATTTTTTAAAAATTGTTTTAAATAATTATAATTAAATATACTTAAAACAAAAATAATATTTTATTTTTCTTATGTTAGTTATAAACTTTTCGTTTAAATAATAATATATTTAGTTTACTTTGTATTATTTCGTATAAAAAAAAAAGAAAATAGTATTAAAATTCAAAAATACAATAAAAATATATTATATAAAATAATTTTTATAAATAATTTTATTTTTTAAATTACCGAATTAGTCAATTGTTAAATAATTTACTTTTTTTTAAAAAATTGGTTTCTAAAAAATTTTTTATTTACTTCATAATATAAATAAAAAGTAAATAAATATAGATAAATGAAACATTTTTAAAAACTAATTTTTTTATAAAGTGTATTATTTTAAAAATTGGCTTCTTTTTAAAATAAAATTATTGATAAAACTATTTCATATAATATGATTTAATTATGTATTTGAATATTAATATTATTTTCATCTCTTTTTTACTCAGAATAAAACAAAATAAAATATATATATTATTATTTAAATGAAAAAACTATAACTAATATAAGAAAAAAGAAATATTATTTTTATTTCAAGTAGATTATTTAAAAAAGTAATTATAATTATAATTACTTAAAAAAATTTTCAGAAAATATTTTATTTTATTTTTATACAGAATAAAACAAAATAAAATAGATATATTAGTCTTTAAATGAAAAATCTATAACTAATATAAGAAAAAAGAAATATTATTTTTATTTCAAGTAGATTATTTAAAAAAGTAATTATAATTATTATTATTTAAAAAAATTTTCAGAAAATATTTTACTGTTATATTTTTTAGTTTTTTTATATTTTTTACCAGACTTAGGTCGTTTATTTAACACATAACTTTATGAAAATGTTTTTTAAATAAAATAAAAATTTACACTTTTTTAAAAGGTGTTTATGCAAAATTATTTTAATTACAAATATTTCGGTAGACCATCTTCGTAGACCATCTTCAGTGTATTGTTATATTTTCTTATATTAATATTCAGTAGAATTTTTTTTAAATTTATATTTCATAGTTTGACTATATTATTGTATAAATGAAAAATCATATAAATAATAATTTTTGAAAAATCTATAACTAATATAAGGAAAATAAAATATTATTTTTATTTGATGTACATTTAATTACACAAAATAATTTATATAATAAAATTTTGATAATAAAATTTTGATTATTAAAACAAATAAATTAAAAATAAAATTTGTTTAATAACAAATAAAAAAAATAATAAAAAAAATAATGAATTTGAAATAAAATTTGTTTATTAACAAATAAAATAATAAAAGAAAAATAATGAAAAAATAATATTATTAATTGAAATAATTTTTTATACATAATTCGTTCCAATAAACAATCCTATTTATGCCATTCGGTTTATTTTATATATTATTTGTTTCTTTCAAATAAAAATGATTAATGACAGTTTTATTTGTGTTTATCTATGTTGAGTACATAGAGTATGCAACAATTATCTAAAACAAATCTAGATATTCTAATTCTTCGGTGTTCTTGTCTAAGATATGTTAAAATAACATTTTTATTATAAATTCTCAACTACGGTGGAGCCTCTTGTTAGGCTGTTATAAGCAAATTTATCAAATTATATATTGCTATTTTGTCATAAACAAGATATCAAAACCAACTATAAAGAATTATATAAATATAATAAAATTCTGTGTTTATAAAATAATTCACTTATATTTAATATAACTAATATAAATGTTTTTATGTGTTCAAATTAATTAATTTAAATTAATTTATTTTATATTAAATTATTTTCGGCTCTAAATGGCGACATTTTAGCGTTGCAGCATTTTCTGCGTAAAAAAATTACCACGTTTAAAGCTTAAATTGTATTCAATTATTAAAATTTAATTTTCAAGCTTATATTCACATATACAATACTTAATTATTGCATTAATTTAGCCTAAATTAAGTTAAAAATGATTAAACTAAAATGCGGCATTCACAAAAGCTCAATAAAAAACGGCAAAAATGTTCGTTTAAGATTTTTGCATATTTTTCATTTTCATAAAAATATTAAATGTCATCGCAAATTTATTAAATATTAAATTACTTTTTCAGTAATGTTAACATTTTCATATTTTCATATTTTTCATTTTTATATTTTCATTAATTAAATTTGTTTTCATTTTTTTTTTTCAATTACCGTGTAAAGTTATTTGAATTTAAGGCATCGGAAAGTAGTTCTGTTCAAAGTCTTTTTGACGTTCCAATAACGATTTTTTCGACGTTTCCAAACGTCGATCAGTGATGGCAACGAATGGTAAACGTTGTTTGCGACCAGTTGAGCCTGCACCAACTAAGCGCGGCGAAGCATCGACCACGCGATGATAAACAAACGAGTTAATAGCTTTTGTGGTAGTTGTGGCAATACCATCGCTTGCACCAGCCTCAGCTTCAGCACCAGCAACAGCAACGGCAGGTGCCGATGTGCTGGTTACCACATTTGCATTACTATCCTCGAGCGGAGTGTAGCGTGACTTGGCTTTGTAGTTACCACTGTCAAAGCTGTATCCACTGCTATTGATGATGCTATTTCCTCTACTACCGGTGCTTGGCGCAAATTGTGCGCTACGACTGCGTGGCTTGCTTATGAAGCTTCCAAGGATTGCGGGATATGATGGCAATTTGAAAATGGCTGCCTTCAGTGTTGTTGTTGTAGGTGGCAATGTAGTTGTTAATTTTTCAATTTGCCAAGTCATTTGCTCGCTTCCTGTCATTTCGTTACCATTTGATTTAGTTTCGATTTCCTTTTGCCAAATGTCATCGTTGTGCTCCTGTAAAATGGTAATATCCTCCTCGGGTAAATGATTTTCTACCGGAATTTTATTTTGCTGACCAAGTACTATGGCATTTGATTCAGTGGTGCTTAATATTTGTGGCGCTTCATTGCGTTGCTGTGAAAATAAATCCTTTTGTTGCTTGTTGTTGTTATGCATATGATTATGATATCTTCTACGTTTCTCTTTCATGTAATCATCATCAATGCGAACTACAACAGCACCAGTACTGCTGCTGTCATGTGGCCCTGGCTGCAGCTTTGAGTTGGACCAAGTGAACATAGGTGAGAGTCGTGTAGTTGGTGGCAATGTGCCCTCGAGTAGGTTAAGCAACTGTTTATTACGTCGATTGTATTTCTTAATGTATGGCGGCAAGTCAGCATCCTCGCTTTTACTGTTTTGTGCTTCCTCTAACTCTGCTGCACTCTCATAATCATATTCGGGATATAAGTCGGGATGCATTTCACGGTAGTGTTCATCATAAACTTGAAATTGTACGCGTGCCAAGTGCGGCCACTTAGCATAGTAACGTTCAAACTCTTCCATTTCAGTGATTTGATGACCCAATTCTTGCATGGCACCGGTGTGCTGCTTGTAAGCGGGCGGTGGTATTGGAGTTTGTGTTACTTTCGTGGAGGATGAGCTTTGATGATTGTAACTGGACTTTTTTGCTGTTGGCAGCAGTTTACGTTGATAGGGATTTGCTTGTGCTGATTGATGTGCTTTGCTGTGTTGATGATGCTTGTGATGATTGCGATGATGTTGATGATGATGATGCAGTCGGTGGTGATTTTTGTGTTGTTCTTGTTGTTCGAAATCTGTTGATTGTTTTTGTTCGGCATACGTTGTTTTGATACCATTGCGGAGTACGGGATTGGTGCGTCTATACCAATTGTCACTGTTGTTGTCCATGTTTTTAAGTTGTCTTTGCTCCTCATTGTCTGCGTGTTTTCCATTTATCTTGTATTTATTGTCAACTTCAGTTTGAGCCGCAGCTTCATCGTCGTCATCTTTCGTTTCGACATAATAGTTTATTTGGCCCTCATAAAATGGCTTGCTGGCACGTTCATTTCCAGTAACTTTATTTCGATTGGAATTTACTACAAACACTGGTGATGCTGGTAATCCACGTAATTTTTCCGCTTCAATTTTCTTTGAATAATTTTTATGCTTTTCGTTTAGTTGTGCTGCTGATTGCTGCTGGTTATTGTGTTTAGTGTTGTTTATAAATTTCACTATTACTGCGTTTACCGTTGGCATTGTATCTGCTGCCGTTGCAGTTTTATCGTCAATAGCATCTGCAATATTGTTATTCGTATGTATTGCTGATGCCGTTGTTCTGATTTCTGATACTGTTGCTGTCGGAGACATTGTCACAGCGTATCTCAGATAATCCTTGTATTTCTTCTTATGACTTTTATGTCCATTGCGTCTATTATTGCGCCGTTGTGCTTTGTGTTGTTCAAACGCGGACTGTGTTCTCATGGCTGATGTTGCTGGTGGAACTGTTGCTGATTCCCCTACGTTACCATTTGCAATTAGGAAGCATTAAGAGAAAAACAAAGAAAATTTACAGAAAAAATTTTATTGTTAGTATTTTCAAGCTTATTTGATATTTTTTGTATGAATATAATTTTATTGTACATTAGAGAGAAATGTGATTTTTATTATTATTATTGAAGTACAGATAAAATAAGATTTGAATGCAAGTAATAATCGCAACTATTACACTTTGAAATAGAGAACAAATATAATCCTTATTAGAGGATATACATATCACAGTGGCTAAACTGAATAAATATTGCTTTCAGATTTGTAATCAAATTAGTTTGCTTATAATTTATGATGGTATTTGAGACGATATGTACATTAAGGATATATATTTACTTAGAGACTCATTTAGATAATGCAATGATGTTAGTATATCAACAAAACATATTAGGTATAAACATTTTTAAATTGTCAATTGAAGTAATAGTTTGATCGAAACTGATATATATAGTGTAGTAGATAATCTATATCTATCTATTTGCTTGTTTTTACTATTATAAGTTAGTTATGAACCGCTAAACAACAATAGTTACCAAATAAATTTTACTTTTAATTAGGATTTAATGAATCCACTTTATATGCTTTATTACTATTACTACTTCAATTCTTGACTCCTAAGCGGAGTATAGACCCTTATAAGTTTTATCTAAATATGGTACATACATAGATACATTTTAATATCTGAAATTTAGTAGCCTTTTAAAACAAGTGTGCTATTATATAATGTATTAGGACTTATATTGTATATACTTTATGCATACAATAAACCGAAACCTGCGAATTCAATTACAGCAGTTATAATAACTTCCATGGCAGATATTAAAAAAAAATAAACCCAACTACTGCAAAATGCTGTCTGTGAAACAATTGATTGAACGATAGGATGGAGCATTGTATTCAATAATATAGAACCATGTCAAATTGCTTTAGAATACACTCGATGGTGTAATTAATTGGACGATAAAATGGAAAATGACATGTAACGATTTATTAAAGATTTATCAAACAAAATATTAAAAATAGATACTATATTGAAAAACAGATAGAAGCACATTTCCGGATACTTCGGAAAACCTGTTACGGCGGGCAATTTACCTACAAAAATGATCAGCAGTACTGATGTGTAAAAAGTGGTAGAAGTTCGGTCACTGCAATAGGAAAAGACCTGAGTGTAATCGAATAAGAAAGAGCTCATGAGTGACTACAGAAAGCATTGGTCTTCTCTACTACCGGACAGTGGTGGACGTACACAACCTAACGTATGCTTAGGGTTTTCTCCTGTGACATGGAAATTCTTCAGAATTTTCAATGGATTTGGAAATACTTTTAAAATTGTTGCGTGGTATGTTCACTGAAACCTGTAAGTTTTAACTATAAAAATATACCTCATTTCATTGGTTGAAGCTCATATCTATAGACTTAGCCAACACATAAATTGGGAAGCTTCTTAACTGCTTGATATAAGTGAGCAAGAAGGGATTTTATACTGACAGTTCAACTTACTATTTGTTGAATATTTTAAGCAATTAAGCAATTAAATAAAATATTTGTTAGTACGAGTAATAACTAGTTACTATATTACTCGTTACGTTAGAATATTGAGCACTCCTTTAAAATATAATATATTTCAATAGATCGATATTGTTTACAGACCAATAATAATCAGAAAATCAAACTCTGATCTGAATATTATTTTGGGTCAGCTCTATGTCGAGAGTATGTAAGGCAACATCAATACAATATCTTATCGTTACTTAATATTTGCTTTATATTTAAAACAATACTTTTTTAAAGTATATCGTTTATAGCATTTATTTTAATATAAGTCATAATCAAAACTATTTTTTTTATTTGCTAAATTTGGGCTTCATGTTTAGAACTATTTATTTTCTTATGTGTATCTAACGTAGTATTTCGTCTATTTATTTAAGACAAAGCCAAAGAAGCTATATTTTTTTATTTTATTGATTTGTGCTTTAATTTTTCTGACTATTATTATTTCATTTATATTTTATTTGGAACTTGGCTTATATAAGTAAGAATAATCTATTTAATCTCTGATTATATATAGGAATTTAAATTTTTTTTAAAATAATTTTATATAAACCGATTAAATATGTACATGTTCGATTTAATCATTGCAGTCCTAAACTTCATTTATTCAACCACTAATAATTTTAATTTTGTGAATTATCCTTTACAAATATCAAAGGAACTAACTAAAGTTCTGCTTCAGTGTACTTCAAAATTGATTTAAGCAATTCAAATCATTTTCCGTTCAGCAAAGCACTTTTCGATATCCATGAACCGAATATATGCTTTTCTATATATTAACTTTATAGCAAATTGAAATATGTTTCTAAGCTTTTGATTCGATACAAAAGCACAGACCGGAAATAATTACTTGCTATTAACTCAATGGCTAACATTTATTTAAACATACATTTTCTAGTCCTTTCAAAAAAAACAAAAAAAAAAAAATAAAGCAAAATATAAAATATATTTTACTGCAAGGAAAATTGGAATTTATCATTCGAATCTCAGCACAAATCCTCTATTCATTATTTAAGAATTTTAAGGATTTGTTGCCAAATCTCTAAATGCTTGAAATACTGTCGAAGCTCGAAACTACAAATAAAAGGAACTTAAATAAAAATGCTCCTGCCAACATACGAGTACGTACTACGTAGTACAGGAGTACGTCGCTGGGCGATTGAAAATCCCAATCACGTACTTGCATTGGCCCACTTCAGCAATCTAAATATCAAAAATGCAGACATTGTAACCACAAAATAGAAATGTTCACTACGTGTGGATACATTTTTATAGATATTGTGTCTATTGGCCAACAAATATTCGAATATGATATCAGATATTGTCTTTGTTCTCAGAGCTTCAGTGAGTTTTGGTGAGTTTTTTTCAAGTAGAGAATTTTCAAGAATTTTGTTTGTTTTGGATTTTTATGTCGTTGGCGTTCTTTTTACTCAACAAAATAAACGGAAACGGATGTTGTATTGATACACTTTTGGGAATCCTGAAGTAAATAAATTTTGAATTTCAACTGATGGAGCTAGAAAAGTGCAGCACAAATGAAAACTAAAGCCATGGGACTTTTCTTGTAAACGTTTTTCAGCTTCATATCGAACATACATAAATTTCTGATCTTATATGCATGAATAACGTAGCTATTTTTAATATTCTCATCGGTGCCATAAGCTAAAACGGAAGTACATCAAGGCTCTATAAAACGTTTTGCATGCGTTGAGTGGAGAAACAGAATTTAGATGAAATTTGCAACAATTTGGGAATACGGAATGTTTACATAATTTGGAATATAAATGCAATTGTAGCTTGCTTTGATCTAGTTATGGCACATTAGAATACAGATAACATATCCGTATCTGCAAATAAAAATTAGTGGATTTGTCAAATTGAAAATTCTTCTCTACTTTCTATTTTCTACGTTCTACTTTTCACTTTAATAATAATAAGCAATTATAGAAGCATAACAAGTGAGGGGTATGTATGTGTGTAGAATTACCTAAAATGCTCCTTCCTGGTTCGAGTTCATCAAACTGTTTGTGTCCTTCGTCATTCCTAGTTTCGGGTTGTTTATTAAATCTTCTGCCATCTTTGCTAAAATCGAAAACGTTTGTGTCATTCGTTAAAATTCCAAAATAGCTTATTGAGTAATCGGTTTGAACTTTCGGTTCCTCTGACGTTGCATGCACTTGAGCCCTGTACTTTTCTCTTAATATTTCGTCATTATTTTCGTTAGTGCTATCTTCCTTGCTTGTGTACCGTTGATGGCCGTAGTGCATGTCTTCGTAGTTCCTTGGTGTCCTGTCGCCACTATTGAAAGTTCTTGGACTGCCATGCCTTTTATTCTTTCTCGTTATAAAATTTGTCAACTTTTTGGTATTTCCAACATTTGATGTTGCAGTTGCTTTAGTTGCAGGCATTCTAGTTGTTGTTGTTGTTGTTGTTACTTGTGTTGTTGCCACTTTAACTGTAGTGTCTTCTGCAATATATTCGTCTTTGTCAACTTCTGTTTCGGTATTTTCATGTTGCTCTTCATTGGAAAGTGCTTCATCTTCATTACGAACATTTTCTTCAATATCACCAATTGCACTTTTATCCATTTTTATGTCATCTTCAATATTGACTTTAATCTTGTGCTTGTTGTCATTGTCATTGTAGTAATTGTTGTTGTTGTTTTTGTTGTTATTGTTATTGTCATTGTTATTCTTCTTCTTGTTGTTATTGTTGTTGCTGTTGTTGTTATTACTGTCACTGTAGTAATTTTTTTTATTTTGTTCCAGTGAAGCTTTATTAAATTTCCGTCCGTTTAATTTTTCAATAGCTTCAATCTGCTGCTGCTTTTGTTGTCTTTGTTGCTGTTGCTGTTGTTGTTGTTGTTCTTTTAACTTCTGGTCCATCTGTTCAGACTGCTGGTCCTGTTGTTGTTTTCGGAGCCATGAATTTTTTAAGTCATGCAAGCCCCTAATTTTTTTTGTCTCAACGCTTCCATCGTACTTGGATTCCGTGCTGATGGTAGCAACGTCGTCGTCAATATCCTTTTTGTCGAAATCTTTTTTATAGTGGTTTCTGTAATAATTATCATGCTTTTTGTTCTGAGTTGTGCTATCATCGTAGGAGTGCAATTTCGTTGAGTAACTCCTTTGAGAATTCAGAATCTGCATAAGATAAGAAATTTAATTAATAAATTTTATAAAAATTTAATTACATTATTTTGTGGTTACTTTTGATAATTAGTAGTAAATTAAAAATTTGTGCTTTTTCTTTTATCGTGATTATTTCAGTTAATATTTATTTAAGTAAAAATTTAATTTTATCTATTAATCTAAAATTTCATTTTTTGCTAATGGAGAAAGAGGTTTCGAAATAACTAAATATTAAATAAACTGAATATAATAGTTGCTATTAAGTAGAAAAGTCACCAGCGTTATAAAGTTAAATATTAAAATCCACTTTAATTTTTTGCTAATGAAGTTTCTAGAATAGTAGTGAACTACAACAACAAAAATGCATTTTATATTATTTTAATTAATTGAATTTTTTTCTGACCATACAGCTGTTTCGAGTATCGCCAAATATCCATCAACAGTGGTCTTGGAAATAATTCTTGTATTTAATTATTCGTAAATAAGTTTTTTTTGAGACTGCAAGTACCAGGAACTGGTGCGCTGCCAAATTTGAAGCTCAGAGTCAGCGCTCCTTAACCAACTGACACAAAGCCATACTTAATTATTTAAAGATTTAATTTATATGTAAAAACAATATATTTGAATTTGAATTTATCGCCAGGGTGCCACAGTTTTTATTTTTATCCTAACACCTATAATTTTTCCAACCTTAAGAAATTAAAAAGGTTTTCCAATTTTAACTTATATTGTAGAAATGCTAAATATCGATATTTTAGTTTTAGAAGCAATTATATATTACTACTGATTCCATTCTGTAAGTGAGAGCTAATATTAGGAGTTCTCCAACGAAGAAACTTTTCTTCGTTTTCTTCGGATTTTCAAAGAAATGCTTAAAGCCTTCTTTCAGGTGTGTCAGTTGTGTGTATATATGGTATTCTATGAACATAATACTCTGACCCATTAAAAGCTCAAAACTCCACAATTTCTATTCTAATGCTAATAATTACTATATACATATATTTAAATTTACTAAATATTTTCTGTACCACTGTTTTTAGACAAAATAAAGCTTGTTGAGATGAGATGTTTTCCATGTCTTTCAAAGTAGACAAATATATTGTTAAATTGAAAATCTAGATCAAGTAACCAAGTAACTGCACTGCTTACTATTTACTTGAACTTAGTAAGTCAGATTTCAAAGGCTGTAGATTGAGTACTTGATCCAACTCTACAAAAAAATGAATTGCTAACCTGATTTGGTTTTCCACCAATTAATTCACTGTCTTTTTATCAGAATCAACTGTTTTTTTTAATTTAAATTGAATCATTAATCACAACAATATATATAAAATAATCCTGACTTTGAATGACTCATAACGAATCAGTTTTAATTAGAATCGACTTTTAAAATTAGCTGTCAAAGAGTAACTCCGAATGGCGCAAACCCAGTCATGAATTTTTAGACCTCAAGCTAGTAAATATATTAGGTTACTATTAGGTTACTGATAGAAATAGAAAAATGTTTATTGCTGATAGCAACGTTTTAGAAAGGGTGGTGAGAACGATGTATGTGAAGTGGGATATTCGCAAAATGTATAAAGATACTAAAATCTGGTATTGATAAAGAATTATAAATACTTTTAAAGTAAATGAAGCATTGATAATGAATATCTGGCAGCATTCCATGAAGTCCAAAACTATATTTTAGTGTTTTCACTCAAAATATTTAAATAATTGAATTAATAAGTCAATATATGTAACTAATTAAAACAAGAATTTATTCTTTTGTCTACACTATCTTAGCAATGCAATACTTTGCAATTACTTTTAAATAATATCAGATTACACATCCTTCCGTTGAAACTCTCAAGTTTTTTTAAGAATTTGTATAAATTTGAAACTTCACAGTTTCAACTAAATATTTTCTTTTATATAAATATTAAATTAAATTTTTACATTCAATTTTTCTTTTACATCTGTAAGAATTACATCTGTAATGATGAATATATTTATGTGAGCATATAAAAAGAGCATACAATAGCAATTGTTGGAAAACCACACACAACTGACCTCATTTACTGTACTTACCATATCAACTGCATCCGAATCAGAGTACTGCATATCTGCATCAATAGCACCGTCATCGTCCTTTATATGCTGCTGATCTAAAATGTCCTCAGGTATCGAAGCTTCATCTTGCATATTGAAATCTGTGGAAGAAGTGAATTGAAAAGATTGTTTAGTATGCAATGGAGACATGCATGAATATATTGAATTTGTATGCTGCAGAAAGTTTTATTTTGGGTATTTATTGGATATTTAGTTTGGCACTGAATTATTGCTCAAAGTTTCAGCTTTGATTCTAAGAGACTAAACTTAAACTACAAGAGCTAAGAAGAATAAAAATGTATAAATAAATACTAGAAGACTTTGTGAATATTGCATATTTTACTACTGAAATGTTTATTTAACTTCTAAATCTCTACAACGAATTATATTTGTTTTTAATGTTGTGGCTTAAGAGCTTATAACGACACATTTTAATTTATTAAAGGAAGAAATAAAGGAATATTCACAGCTTTATAAAGCACTTGTGGGCTAAATGTGCCATAATAATCATAATTAAACTCCAGAGACCAGAAATGTACAAGTACGTACTCTATCGGCACATCATCCTTACCGAGATACGAGAAATGTCTGGGTGGGGGTGTACTTAGAAGTGCTTTGAACGCCACAACAAATTTTGCGCAATGACAACAGCCAAGTGATAAAAAATATTAGAAAATCTGTGAAATTTTTTGTATTAAATTTTTATTCATGGGCATTACACCGAATGTTCGCTTTAGTGCCACTCCCCTGGGGAGTTAATGGGACATTTATTCATGGCTTAGTGCTGATGTTTGCTGTTGCTGGTGTTACCAATTGTTGTTTCCTGGGCGTCGAGTACATGCCTTTGTTGTTCAGTATTTCCCTACGGGGCATGACGTGTTCTTGGCGACGTACATGAACTTCGCTTTATTTTCAAGTATATAAATATAATCACTTCAAGATAAATTTAATTAAAGTTCAAATATTTACACCAACCAACATTTAAATTTATAAAACAGTAATTAAAATGTGTTTAACTTAATAGGTAGTTAAAACAAATATTATTTTTAGTTGTTGAAATAATGATGCTATAATTCAAAACTTTAAGTACTGTTTCAAACAAAACAAATAGTTTTTAAATTATGAAATCATGTTCATAATTTTATTGGTTAACTCCATATATTCCGGAACGCAATGGAGTCATACTTAAGCAAAACTAAATATGCTATCTACATTTTAGAAACTCTGAGGAAAATCCAGGACGCTATTTATTTTATATTTTAATTACAAAACACAATACAAAAATTATAAGTAACAGTAATGGAGTAAAATTTAAATAAATAAATTAGAATAATATAAAACTAATTTAAATAAAACAAAATTAAATAAAACTAAATAAATAAGATGAAATAAATAAGACATCATAAAATAAAATACAAGAAAAGAAAATCAAATGAAATGAAATTAAATAAAATGAAATAAATAAGGTAAAATGAAATAAGATAACGTGAAATAAAACAGAATAAAATAAAATAAAATAAAATAAAAAAAAAATAGAATAAAATAAAATAAAATAAAAAAAAATAATACAAAATAAAACAAAATTAAATAAATTAAATTGAAATAAAATAAAGTATATTGTATATAAAATGAAATAAAATGAATTTAATTAAAATGGTATTAAATTAAATTAAAACTAAATAAATAAGATAAAATAAAACAAGTTAATATAAAATAAAATAGAATAAAATAAAATAAAAAAAATTAAATAAAATAAAATAAAATAAAATAAAATAAAATAGATAACTTGAAATAAAATAGAATAAATTAAATTAAAATAAAATAAAATAAAATAAAACAAAACAAATAAAACGAAATAAAACAAAACAAAATAAAATAAAATTAAATAAAACAATATTAAATAAAAAAAAATAAAATAAAACAATATTAAATAAAATAAAATAAAATAAAATAAAATAAAATAAAATAAAATAAAATAAAATAAAATTAAATTAAATGAAATGAAATAAATTGAAATTAAATATAATGAAATTAAATAGAATTAAATAAATAAATAAAAAACCAATTATTTTGAACACATATTTTAGACAACTTATGAAATATAATATAAAATAAAAGCAAATCAAATCAAAGGAAAAAAACAAATATATACTAAAATTCATTTAGAAAAAATATTATTAAATGAAATTATAAAAATAAAATCAAATTAATAATTAATTAATATAAATACTATTATATTAATAAATTTATTTTTTAAAAAATTTAAAATTAAAGAAATTTAAAAAAATGTTACCAAAGAAATTAAATAATTTAAAATAATATACAAGCATATTATTTTAAATAACACAACAAATATAAGTAATGAAAAATAATATATGCACAAAAAATGTTAAATATAATATATAAAACATAAATTCATAAAAAGGTTTTTTCGAAGAGTAGTGAACTACAACAACAAAAATTCATTTTATATTATTTTAATTAATGGAATTTTTGGCTGATCATACAGCTTTTTCGAGTATTGTCAAAAACACATCATCAGTGGTCTTGGAAATAATTCTTGTATTTAATAAGGAGCAGTCGAACTTGTGCTCTGCCAAATTTGAAGCTCAGAGTTAGCGCTCCTTAACCAATTAAAAGCCGTACTTGAGTTTTATGTTCGCAATTTTTCTGGAGTTTTGTTATTTTACTATGAAAGTTTTATTAACAAATTTACTTGTTGTGTTTATATTAGAACGAAATCATAAATCAGCTGTTGAATAATTTAATTAATTAAGAATAGTTATTTTTAATTTTTAAATTTCAATACTATTCTTTTGTAGATACATTATTTATTGCATGAATTTCTATTATTCTTTATTGTGCATAGGACGTAATCTGGAACTACGATATGGAGAAAGTCATGTTAATATTACTCTATTAACTTGGCTTTCGAGTTACTCTACTTGATTCATACAAGCGTGACTGGAAATTGAATTTATTTTTTTCATACTTATTTCCATAATAATTCAAATATTACATTTAATATTAACGTGACTATTTTACTTAATATAAACTATTGTTTTCAATAGAGAGTTTTTGAACAATAGTAAATTGTAATATCAACATTTTTAATTATTTTTAATTAATTGAATTTTTTAACTAGTTTTTAATAATTTAAGAATAAATAATAATTTTGTTCTTACAATTCACTGCTGTTTGAAAGCCCTCTATTAAATATAATAGTTTCTATTATTAAAATATTATTAATTATTTTATAAAGAGGTTTTCGAACAGAAGTGAAACAACAACAAAAATTTATTTTTTAAATTATTTTAATTAATTGAATTTTTGGCTGACCATACAGCTGTTTCGAGTATTGCCAAATACCCTTCATCAGTGGTCTTGGAAATAAATTAATTAATTAAATAAATAAAAATAATTAATTAATTATTTTATTTAATAATAAAAAGCACTTCCGGTCGATTTTCTTTATGTGAAATTATAAAGTGTATACTTCTAGCTATGTATATATTGTCATTTAACTCTAGTACTTAATTACTGAGTTATTTATGTTGTTTTTACAAACTACTGTGGTATCAGATCGGGGAGAGACAGGCAGATTGTTTAACGAGTTGAGAGCAATAGCACAAAACAGAAATCAATGATAAACTTTTATAGACTCCTTAAGCTCTTAGTGGTGTATGCAAATAATAATAATAGATCGGGTTAAATATTTTGGGTGCCAAAAAAATTAACTTCTCATAATCAATTGTTAGTGTGAAGTTAATTTGGAATCTGAACCGTTTGAAAAAATATTGACTAAAAAATTATTTAATGAAATTAAAAACGAAATAAAATGACAAGTCTTACTTAAATTTTTAAATATTAATTTTTAAAATAATAATAATAAAATAATAATATAATAAGCAAAAACAAAATTAGCTGCTTTGTTAGTTTAATTTTACAACTTTACCGAGGCTTGTTATTTTATGACTTTACCGACTTGCTAAGCTACGTCTGTATACCCTCAATGTTAAAAATCAGTTTTAGTTTCTAGTTTTAAATTAGAAATGTGTCACTCAATTAAGCGTAGGACATTGAAATGCCATGTCAATATCAATAAAGCCAGAATATGGTAGTTTCATGGCTTCTTTCTACTAAATTCAACAAATGTTTGAAAAAAATCAAAATGTACACTCAATGCTACTTGATTACACAAATATGGACTCCGTTTTGAATTTTAAATTTTCATTATTAATTCCTTTTGTGGTAACAAATTTGTATTTTATAAAAATTTGCATACAAAATTATATTATACAGTACGTTAAGTTCACGACTTCAGTGTAGTCCTTACCACTGTGAATTGTGTGCTCAGATTCAATTAAAGTAAGCACACCAACGGTTGCTACCAAATCCTTTCTGAAGGATTTTATAGTATTTTTTTTTTCTGTTTTGTTAATTTATGTAAATTGAGATATTTACCACCACTGGCGGAGACCACTAACGTATTATACTTTGGTTTGCGGCGCATAAAGCAAAGTGTTGTAAACTCATACATTTATGCACATTTGTATCTAAACAATTAAATATAGACCATTATTCTATTCACCGAAACATGGCGAAACAATAACAAAACAATATCAGCCAGCCACAAGCACTGCCCATAGTTATTATTGCTGGCGTAGTGGACATTTTAATTATCGTTTAGTGGTTTTCGAGGCCCTCTCAGCCTATGTGGAATAATTTAAAATACCCTCAAATGTACATACGAGTATGTACATATATCTGATGTATATATTTAAATGTATATATGTATTTATACAAGCTCTTGTATTTGCTAAGCATATTAACAGGATATGAAACAAAATGTCGTTCATTTCAAGTTGAAAATTTCAAAGCAGATTGCATTTCCCAATTCAATTTGAGTTCCGGTACGAATACAAAACAGAAAGAGAAAATTTGTGTTATTAATTTAAATTTTAAATTTGTAAAAAAAAAATATATTTTCACTTTTCTTTAAATATTAAATAAAATATTACATGCAGGCAAGAAAAAATAACAGGTATAAAAATCACTTTTACGACACAGAAAGTGTTTCCTTTTTGTGTTTCTGCTGTGT